GGCCCCAGCCCGAGAGCCACCACTACTGCTACTTCTACTTCTTCTACCACTACTAGTACCACGAATGACGACGACGACTGCTACTACTGCTACTGCTACTGCTACTGCTACTACTGCTGCAGCTGCATTTTCACCGATACTACATACATCCTCAAGTGCTGAAACATTTTATCCACGCGCTAAGCTTGAGGGAATGTACTGCCTTGGAAGGCCTGCTGAAGGCTTTTGCATAGGACGTTTGCATCCAGGGATGGTCAGCACACATGGACCCCAGACCCGGTCGATTTGTTTGCCATGATAGCTCTTATGATTCATAGTCGTGGTGACCTTCGATGCGGAACAAGTAATAAGTAGTAGCAGTTGTGCTAAGACTGCTAAGACATAGGAATAGTAGCAGTGGGACCGCGAGTAGCAGGAGCAGCTGCAGTAGCAGCGTCATCGTCATCGTGTTGGCTGAACAGTTCTTGCCCCTGCAGGTTCACACTCCAAACCCCCCCCACATCCTGTGCCACCTCGTGCTTCCAGGCTTACGGCAGATGATCGGATTTGGCACCCACGAGCTGGCAGGGCTGCAGCCCTAATTCTGAATCGCTTTAGTTGGGGTCAGGCGGGGGTCTCCGTGACTGGAAATCTGATCGAGAACGAAATCAAAGGCATCACAGGAGTGCCTTGCTAGTCGTTTTTCCGAGCTTGAGTTCTGGGATCAGAATTGCAGATGTTGCTTTGGTCGGCTGCTGTCAGCAAGGGGAGGGCGGGCGGGCGGGCGGGCTGCATGTTGCAGTGAGCCTCGCAGAGTCACTTGTCACCCCTGCCCTCGGCAATATCCGATCTCGAGCCGCAGCAGCAGTGGGGATCCTCGGAATCGCACTCGAAGACCCAAATGTTGAGTCGGTAATACCATGCAAACCACACAGACAGATACTAGTGCTTGTCTGTCTGTCCGTATGGACATATGGACATACACGTGTGCATGTATACGATGCAGCTCGAATCTTCATATTACGGTATGTGACATGTTGATCAATGTTGAGCATCTTCGCAGGGCCGTGGTGGGACCAGAATTCTGCGTACTTCAAGGAAGTATGGCTCAATGCCGCTGCCACCTCCAACTATGGCCAGCACCGGAAGAGACATTTGACATGTCGTCACCATGCAATTTTCTGCACTCAGCCATCTGATCACAGTCTTGACCGAACCAGAAACTCCAGGTTTATCTCCAGGTTTGTTTGGTTGTTGAAGTGTGCAATTGCGGACTCGTTTGTCGAGGTCCGAGTGCTATCTGGCCGTGCGGGCAGCGCTCGAGGCACAGGAGTGTCATCGACACAGTAGACTGTACACTGCTGGAGTCTTGGGTTGGCAGGAGCTTGAGTATGGGTTCGATTTTTCAGAATCTCCTGCCGGGCATTTGTGCATCCAAAACGGAAGTCTGCAGCTGTGCAGAGCAAGAAGCAACCTGCACAACTGACCAGGCCGGTGTACGTCACATCGATTCCGTCGGTGCCTGTGGTGTTTCGGGTTATATAGTAAAAAAAGAGAACCCCCAAACGACTAGGCTTCCTGACCTCAGCAAATACACAGTCATATATGACAGACACAAATCAAGAAGCTTTGGCCTTTTTCTTGACAGCACGGCAACCCCTCTCCTAGCCGGAGCAGATTACTAATACCACTTCGAAGACGATGTCCAACGTCTCAGGGTTCCTGTGCAATAGATGATTTCGGATGAGCCGCGGGCCCCTGAAGCCTTTGCCCTCCGAAAACGGTAAAGCTGTCACGACTTGCCCTAGGAGCGTTCAAACTGTGACTTCAACTACACGCTCCGGGGTTCGCAGTGTTCCTGCTACTGTGCGTTTGTTTAGGTTCTTGTTCAGAACCGAAATCCGGACGTTACCCCTGCGACCAGGATCCGCTCGGCAGAAGCAGTTGCTTCCTGCAGGATTGTAACAGATTTTCAAACTATAATTGGACCTGAGAGAAAAGTCTTTGCCGAGTCTTCGTGGTTGCAATCGCCGTCATGTTTGGTACTAATCACTGGGGCAGCCAGACTTTCTTTGTGCCGAGGCCGAATCCTACCGCAACGCGGCTGAGGTTGGCCGAGCAATGCTGGAGAGCAAGGCCAGGCATGCCGCTTTTAGGTCTCGGGAGGCTGTAGTTCGATATCGTCGAAGGAGGTTTCGAGTCTATGGCAGGAGAGCTGGGCAAAGGGTGCTAAGCAACACCACAGGTGGCAAGAATCAAAGATCACCAAAGCTTTGACTGGACACCCGCCACTTAAAGTTCCGAAACCTTGAACGTCCTTTAAGTTTGGACTAAAGTTGTGCAGTTATGGACGCTAGATTCAAATTACGCCCGATGAATGTGACGCTCGTAAGGCGCTGCGCAACACTTCTTCCAGAGATGTGTTGAAACGTGCTTCCAGGGCATGCGCACTCTCGCGTGTTCGGACTGTTGTTCTGCTTCCCCGTGGGCCTCTTTCTGGCATAGTTTCTCCAGCCAAGACACTTGTCGGAGGTGCCCAGGGAATCGATCTACTTGGCAACGCCCCTGGGCTGGCGAGAACCCGAAACTCAAGATTCTGAACCCTGAACCTTCAAACCCCAAGCCATCAACGCGTCGGGGCCTGAGCGCGTTAACCCGAAATCCAAAGCTCTTCAGGTCCTAAGCAAGCACAGCTTAACACTCAAGCCCTGGACTTGCTCTAAACCCTAAGTTTGTGTCGCTAGACCATCAAATTAAGTCCCATACATCTCAGGACCCCTCCTCTCAAACGAAGCGAACTAACGACCTCAACCTCAGTCCGCCACATGCCTAAAGTTTCAAAGCCATCTAACTGAAGCCGGAGGCTTAGAGTGTTTCGGGGTTTTCTGCTAATAGTCGCTTACAACTAGAACAAGCAACCTTCGGTATTGAGATACTGAGGACACTACACAGGATTGAATGGGAACGAGGGATTTTCCAGATGATGCAGTGACGATGAAGCAGTTTATGCAAAGGCTGAATGCTGAGTTGTGATCACGCAAAGGAAGCTCTCCACGACCAATCTGGATGAAGGAGCCGCCTATGACACGCTGCAGGCTCGCTTCCTCCGCTGGGTTGCACAACGTGTCTGGGATCTTCCGGGTGCAGACCCCTGATTCTAGCGTTTTGCTTGCACTGCACAGCCTGCATGTGCAGCTGATCTGCTGTGACAAAATGTTGGTCATGATGGTCATGATGATGACGACGATGATGACGAGGACGATGGTGAGGATGGTCTTGGTTCGACGGGTGCTGGCGAGCGTACTGATGATGAGTACTGTGATCGTGATGGTGTTGGCGATCGTTTGTTGATGAATATCACTCTTTGGTCTTTTGCCATAATGCTTTTCTTGAGAATCAATGTGAGAGTTCAAGCTTGACATGTTTTGCGAAGAACCTTCGCCTCGGAGACACTCGGTTTGGCTTGGCCATACAGGTGAGCGGTGAGGGCTCTGAAGGAGTGGTCAGCGATCACCAGTGAACCCCACCCCATTCCCAGAACGCACCTTTTACAAATCCTGGAAAGTAAACTGTAAGCCCTATGAAGCCGAGTGCCTAAACCCTCACATTCAACTTGAGGCAGAGCTGGATGGCTTTTGGCCGGCGGCATACGCTGACCTTTGCACCTTGCCTCCAGCAACCCTCAACTGACCAACTCTGCTTTGAGTCCAAACCTCGCTTAACCCCCTCTCACGCTGCGACTGCTCGCAGTTGTCCTTGGCAAGGAAGTAGTTCAACAACGGCCATGCCCGGGGGGCCTACATACTTGAACCTTGCTAGCCGCATCTTGCCGCGAAGCAACAGTTGTTGAGGAAAAGATGCTTCAACCTCCAAAAACCTTCGCTTCACTGACAGGTACACAGGCCCCCAGAATCCCTAAGCATAGTTCAATTGGGCTTCTCATCCCCTTTCTAGTCAGCATCAACCTCCTGCAAGAGGGTTCTGCGCCATGTGCTGTATGTATCCAGGTTACCTGCACTTTCCCTCGGACGACAGCCTCCCCTCTTGGAGGGCATTGGAGCGGCTGCACGACGAGGGCCCCGGCAGAAGGGTACTTCCACAGCGTAGCGGATGCTGCTGAAACTCTGCTGCCGGAGATGACAGTGTGATGATATGATTTTTTGTGGCTCCTGTGGTGTTAGTGTGGCGATTTTCGATGATGATGCTCGTGCCGGCTGTGACGGGAGTTGTGCCCATCATGCGGTGTTGTGGTTGCGGCTTTCGTCGCTGTCGTGTCCAGTGCAATGGTTGTCTCGTCCTGCTCGCCGTAGTGACGTAGTGACGCAGTGTTTCCAAACTGCACTTGGTTGCAGGTCGGTGCCGCCAGCTGGGTCTTAGCAACTTTGGTCAGGACCGGAGCCCCCATCTTCCCCTCTCCAACGGGTTGAGGGCCTGTCGGACTTGGCTTTTGGGCTTTGCGGCCGTGCCTCGGTTTTCGGTTTGCAGGCTTACAGTGGAATTTCTACTTTTAAGCCATCCTGATACGAGCTGTCATGGCCTCGCAGCCCCCATCCACAAACCAGACATCGGCAGGCCAAAGCCTCGATCGAATCTGACCCTCAAGCTGTGCTTCATAGATCCGAAGGCAATACCCTCCTACCATACTGAGTTGCTTCCAGTAGTATTGACTTGACGACCTTTACTGATTCGTTGCTCATACCCCTTCAGCGAGTTCTGCTACTGCCGGACTAGCCACGGGCCTCAGGGTGGAGGAATTCAGGATGTATGTGTCTTGTCGGGCTCCATGTAAGGTGCCAATTTCACTTGTTGATGGACATGGTCCGACACCTGAAACAACACTGAAACAACCTCAAGCACTCATTCTGCAGTGCCAACTTCAAGCCCCACCACCGAAAGCAGAGATGGGCCCTCCATGCCAGTGAAGTTGCAAGAGGCACAGATCGAGGAGCTCGTGCGCCAAGCGCGTGTCAAGCCTGCTGCCCTGCAGCATCTCGGCTGCAGTGAGGACGCCTAAGGCCTAGGCCCTTAGGCGTGCACTGAATGGCCGCAGGGATCTTTCAGCAGCTCAGGGCCGTGATGGGAGAGACCCGAACTCTTCAATTAGCCAAGGAAAACAATATGGACTCTTGAAGCCAAAGGCCAAGATGTCACCAGGCTTGTAAGTCAACCGGAAGGAATCAGAAGAGACGGCTCTTCCTAGGATCCAATTTTCGGTCTACGAGCCCTGCAGCCCTGCCTTCCTGCGTTGGCTTCGCGGGCAAGGGATAGCTGTGCCCAGATTGCAGAGTGCCTTAAACTTTCGAGCTGAAGGGTACTTGTGCTGGGGACCCCAACTTGGGATTCCTCAAGGTGCCAATTTGAAGATTAAAGGTCGGGGTCACACCGGCCTTCGTTCGAGCTTCAGTGGATAGTTTCCTGCTGTGCTTACTGGGGTTGCTGAAGCACTGCGGCATCTCCAATGGCATCACGCCTTTCTGTCCATCACCCATGCCGACACTCTTGCCTGACACGTCCTGCATGCAAACCAGAGCGAGTTGAATCTTGTGGGGCATCCGGGCAGGTTGTGGCTGCCGCATCTCTGAATCCGAATGCGACCTGCAACCTGAACCCGATGCAGGACGCATGTCCGGTCTTCACAAGTGGTAAGTGCTGCGGAGCGCAACAGATTTATTGATGTTTGTGAGTGATTGGGCATTTTGTCCCAAAATTGTGTTCAAACGAAATCTCGAGTGACCCTGGTGGATCCAGCTCCGCCTCTCGCATGCCCAAGGTCCTCTCCTCTTCCGGATTCCGAATGTATATAGATCGTCTGTGGACCTCTGCGCACTAGTGGCTCTAAACAAAAAGCCGGGTCCCGAATGGCTCATGATTCGCAGCGGAGCTTTTGTTTGGAGCTGTGACAGCCTGCATTTTCCAAAGGATCCCCATGTCGTCGCGATCGCTTCCAAGCATGGTCGCACCACTGCCCAGGCAGGGTTGAGAATAGCGTTTATGGTCATTTATGGTTTAAGGTTAAGGTTAAGGTTAAGTCAGTTGAAGGGTTAAGAGAAGGGAGTGGTGACCGACCACTAGAGCCTAGGATGGGTCTGTGGCGACGACCTACTGTTATCCGACTCCAAAGTTGATCGAAGCATGAGTCCAAAGCTCTGAACTTTCCTTCGCAGGTCCTTCTCCGCTGGCTGCTACAGCAGAATGCCCCGCGGCTTATTGTGACTATTGTTGGTTGAGGGCCGTTTGGCGTCAGGGCTTTGAGGGTTTAGGACCAGCTTCTGTAGGGTCCAGGACAGGAATGAGAGCTGAGGACTTCAAGGGCGTTCCCTCAAGAAGAAGCTCCTTCCCCAAGGTCTACAACCAAGCCCAGAGCTTTGACTTCGGCCTTAAGCCTAAAGCTGGTGAACCACTACTTAGACTTGACGAGTGCTTTGAATCCATAAACCCTGAATATACTCAACCCCCACACCAGCATGATGCTATTCCCGGCCAAGCCTAAATTAGGTGGCTGTTTTGCCCCGCAGCAGCAGCACCGAGCACATTCGCCAAAACAGCGGGAGGACCCAGAAAGGTTGGCGTATTTGGGGCCCCATTTGGGGCCTGTTCAGGCAGGCTTTGGGAATTTTGGGCCGGGGTATCAGAGCTTGGCTCTTGGCACATGCTCTTTCGCATCGTTAGCCTTGTCGTCATCAGTTTTTTCGGCGCCTCGTCGGCTTCCTAGACCCCACAACCCTGTTCAGTCTTTGAGCTGTCTCGAAGATGGCTGGCGTCCTGGGGCGGCCATGTGGACAGGATTCGGGTCAGGGGAGCCCTCAATCCTGGGTGCTCTACCCTGAGTCTTTTTCGTGTATTGCGGTTTTTCCACCGTCCCAGGTCAGCTCGATTTCACCCTGAGCGATGGAGAGGTGGCGGTTCTCGGTGCTTTGTCTACGCTTCTTCAGAGCCGCCCAGGCGCTCCGGGGACGCTTCCTAGGGTGTTGGGCAAGGCTTTCATGGTTGTCTTAGTTGTGTAGCCTTTCAGATGCTTTAAGCTTTGATGTTGCTAGATATGCTTCGTATGTCCAAGACTTTTCTGAGCATTTGTGTGGCTTTTCGGATGGGCATCTTTCTCGGGTACTGGGCGAACATGCTCATCATGAAGTGCTGCCCAGCTCGAGTCGGCGGGCCCAGTTTTGTTTTGGGGGACTCGGACTTCATTATGACTGTTTTTGGTTGGATCCTACATCCTTTGCATAACTTTACATGCTTCAACCATAAAGCCAAGCCTTTCGAACTCCTGGAGGTCCTAGGGTTTGGATGCTGGTGAGGTCGCAGAGGACAGAATGTAGATTGTAGATCCTGCCAGCCTGGAGATGCTCTCAGAGAAATTTGAAGTTCTGCAGTTTGCCTGTCTTGGTATGGACTTCGCAGCGCCCGTGAGCGATTGTGGACCGAACAACAGGATGAAGGCCGTGCCCAGCTCTTTTGGCTTTCCACGAGATATCGGGAGTACCAAGATTAGAAGGACTCCGAATCTGGACCACAGCCTAAGGGCCCAAAATGGCCCAAACTACCGTGCCTAAGATATCGAAGCTCCAGTTCAAGTCTGCAGGCAGTAAATCCTGAAGCTCTAAGTCGACGAGCCCCCAAGCCTCAGATCTTAACGCATTACTGTGCACCACTTTCCTCATCTCTCCACGCAAGTCCCCGCCGTCTCTGACTACAAGACTAGGAGGCTGGATGCATCGTACCCTCAAGTCTTCCAGCGCTGAACTTCAATCCCGCGCTTACACCCCGGCGAGGCTTCCTGAGACCAGATGGGGCTTCGGACCTCTTCGGCGTAGCGAGTTAAAGTTCCAAACTCCGCGTGCCGTGGAGGTTGCATGTGCCGTGGTGGTTTCGTAGAATGGATATTTTATTGTAAACCCAGGTTCGCTGTTGCCGTGTGTGCTGCAGTTTGGCGCACTTTATCGCTTGCCCTGTGAAAGACGTAATCTGGTTTTGCTCACAATGTAGGGAAGAGCACTTATCACCTCTACCACCGGTATAATTACCACTATCACGACCACTACCTGCTACCTCTGCACACAGTGGAAATCGACATGCTTCTCTTAGCAGTCTTGTTGGTAAGCTTGCCACATGGAAGGAACACAGAGCCGTACTGAATCGCCGCATGGGGCTCAAGCCATCGATATTCGAAACACTCATCGGGTCGGATCTAGTTGCAGTGCTCTTCTGCCCTAATGGTGGCGGTTCCTATCTGCACTCCCGCGATGCAATACGGCGCAACCGCCGAGATGCATCCACTGCCAGCCCCCATCCCGCCACAGTCACAACAGCAATGTGCAGCTCAGCTCAGATTCGGGAGCCTTTCTCCAAGCCGCACCCCGGAGCCTGAAGTTCCAAAGGTTTCAGTGTTCAACTTTCGCTTACCCAAAAACTCGCACACAGGAGCCTCTAGACACCCCAAAGCTGGGCTGCTTTCTGCCCCGAGGTAGTCGCGATGCTAGTTCCGGCTGGCCAGTTCCCATATGCGGCGACACAGCCGTCTATGATGTGCCAAGCGGAGAAGCAGCCCGTCGGCAGGTTGTAGTTGCCTCGCAGTTGGGTTTATGCTGCGGGATGCTTGGTTTTCTTGGTCTTGGACCCTAAAGCCTGGATGATTAATTCAAGCAGGCTGGCTCCGGCTTAACACCTGCCAACTTCCAACATCCCAAACAGGGCACAGTACGATCCAAGCCCAAGGAACAGCACCATCAGCTTGCAGAACCCTCTTTTCACTTACCTCACAGCTAACCTTATGCTGCGCTTAGCACATCCCCGAACTAAGCAGAATTGGGACTTGAGACCAAGACCGGCTGAGGTTCGGACCTCAGGTGGCTCTGGGGCCTCCGGTGCCCCAGGAGCCGTAAAGTGGAAGCCTTGCGGGGTTGGTTAGGGTTGAAGATCCAGAGTTTATGAGTTGAAGGGACATCAAACCTTCTAGTATGATAGAAAAGCAGTGTGTACCCCTCGGCAAGTTTTGAGATAGGTTCGCACAGGCCCCACATTGCTACCCGAAGGGGATGAGGGACTCCTTAGTGGTGCTCTTTGCTTGTTGGCCTTGGTTCGAGTTACTTCGTGAGAGGAGTTCAGGCCCGTTCAGTTGCAAGGTCTCGCTGAGCGCACAGTATAATATGGTTATGTTTGCACGATCGACCAGGAATCGTGCAGAGGACCGCGTTGGGGTTTCGGAGCATGCCGAGGGCATGGATTTCATCTTACTGATCTTATGCAGTTTCATTGCGCATGAGGACTAAAAGCATTTTCTGACGACGACATAGCTTTGCATAGCGGTACGAATCCCAAGACCGGCCGGAAAAAAGCGGTACGCATAGTGAATATGGTGACGAAAGCAGCAAGCATTTCTGTCCGTACTGAAAAAACCTCCTATCTGTAGCCATCGTCCTCACCTTGTCCTCACCTTGATGTTCGCCGTCGTCAGTATCATCGCAGCCATTCTCATGTGTATCATCCTCCTCTGCCGTATCATCCTCATCATCAGCAGCACCATCATCTACATCACAAGTGTACGAAACATTGGTGGTGCTGAGGAGTTGAGGGTTTGGCTTTGGGCCGGGCCACGCCCCTTCTCTAAGAGCCCAACACCTCAAACAGTCCACTGCGAACGGAAAATCACCTGCAGATTGAACTCGAGGTTAGGGTTTGGACGTTTAGGATGGCGGCTTTTCAAAGACTCCATGTCCTCATGCTTTGTCCTCAACCGGCCAGGAGATCATGCACCCGAACGTGCAGATGACCCCGGTCCTGAAACCTTTCCATGCACCTGGCGCGCCGACCTTAGCAGCAATTAGTATGAGATCTAGGAAATCCCTTGGAAATGATCTCAAGGAGCAGGATATCTGCTTGGCTTACAACCGAGGAGTCCGACAGACTGGTGTCTTCGTTTAGAAGAGCAACAACAGCCGTCAATCCTGTCATTGCCACCCCCNNCCCCCCCCCCCCCCCCCCCGAAGCGCAGACCTACCGCAAGCCTCGTGCCGTGCTGGTCTTGATCGGTCAGATATCTCGTTAGAAATCCTAACGAGGGCAGCGAATCGAGGGGTCATTGCAGGAACGCAGGAACTATGAAAGTGTTGGGCCTAGCGGGGCATGATGACTCCTTAGGCGAAGTCCGCCAGCAGGCCGCACGTGGTCTAGTCAGAGTTTCAACATCCTTGTTCTACTGCCTTTGAGGTCGGAAGCAGCACCTGCAGCCTCTCACTTGCAAGTCCTTTGATGCCTAGGACTTAGGACGTAGGCTTTGTGGGCTTGTGGGGCCAAGCTGTTTAGGGGTGCTTTCTTTACGTGCAGCTTGCTCGCAGGGTGAAGACATCATTGTATGACTGCACGTGGAACTCCTTGTATGACAGCAGCCTTCTACACGCTCGGAGAGCGCACAGAGCGACCTCCGTAAGTGAACATTCCTCGTGAGAGTGGTTTGCTGGCGAATTGCCATATCGTACCTAGCATATACCAGCGACAGTCGCAACCAGCGATGCCCAGGTCTCGGCATAGGTGTAGAACTGTGATCTTTTCAACAAAGCAGCGGCAACAAAGATGGCAATGACAAGAGCACAGCGACAACACAAGGGTAGAGTAGGAATACCTTCGGCAACAATCGTCGTAGCAAGCTGAGGCTTGCAAAAAAGACATGACTGCTGAAGCAAACTACAGGTTCAAGATAGGATGAAATCTGTAAAGACATCAAGGATTCTTGTCATCATGCCAATACTGGATCGTTCTAAAGGGGTAGCCTTGGCAGCTCACAAAAAGGCACCAAAGGCTTCAAACTCTTTTGGCTCCCTCGCAGTACTCAAGGATACTCTCAATCTCGTCCCTGTGCCGGATCGAGGCACGAAGCCTTCACAGACGAATACCCGACATGAACGTTTCGCAAGCTGCTTTCGTCCCAACTCTGTTGAACAGTTCCAGGTGGCAGACACGATGTTGGATCCCACATCAACGTGTTTTGGGGTTGGGTTTAACTGTGGCCCTGCTGGCCTGTACTAACCAAAGGAAACAAGGAATCTGGAGCCCAAAGCTGTCGGCAGTTTTGTCGACTCTGCAAACGGGTGAAGCGAGAAATTCTGGGGTGCCAGTGCAACGGCTACTTGCTTCCTGTCTTATGTGACAAAACTGTACCAGGTAGGCTCTCTCAGACGGAAGCCATGCTAAAGCCACAGGCTTCTGGATCCTGAAATCTAAGATCACCGGCCTCCTAGGTGAAGATGAACATGGTGCCGCTGCGAGCCCCGGCAGCGCGAGTACATTCAAAGCCGAGAGCAGCCTGCAAAGCAGGGTTTAGTGGAGCTCGTCCACCATTCTTGAGGCAAAATCACAGCACTGTTCAAATCGAAACACAGGTGCATACCATTCATTGTCCCCGTTACTGTTGCAGTTGTGTTTTCTTTGTCGAGCTCTTGTTGCGTGTTCCCTGATATGCACTCCAGAGTTAGATTCCTCGCCGATCCTTTGGTGCAAGGAGAGAGCTGCCATCTCCTCCCGACACGGCCTCGGAGGCTGAGCACCACGAGGGCCTCGAGCCTTGGCTGTCAGAAACTTCGCAGGTGCAAGGGACTATGAAGGCTTTTGCGAGCTAAATGAGCAAGAACATGAACATGGGACCACATGGCGGGTGATAGAGGTAGTGAAATATTGCTCACAGGATTTGGACAGCCTCTTGTCGCCGTTTACCCGTCCCTACCTCCTCCGTTTCGGCATGTCCCCGCCTCCTGAACCAGCCGAACTTACGCACTCCCCTTCTCCGCCATGCCATGAACTAGCCGTAACCAGCCATTGAACGCCGATCTGTGGAGATGGATATGCAGCCTGTCAGGTTGCCTAACATATTGGCAGGCTGAAAAACGAAGCACTGCTTCAAATGACCGAGTGCGAAAACGGATAGTGTTCATCTAGAACAAGAAGAAAATTTGTGGAACTTTGTCCTCGTGTGGGCCAGTAGAGATATCAGAGTTTTGCTTCATTGCAAAGAGCAAGCGAGCCAAAAAAGTTCGCAGACACCGACAGGAATCATAAAGCATCAGCTGGCCACTCTGTAGCCTAGCGTGGATCGCCGCAGTATAGCTCACTGAGCCCCTGAGCCTTTCAAGGCCAAGCTCAGCACCAGCGCCGCCCGTCGGCTCCGTCGAAAGCGGGCCTCGCAGCGGGCGACGCAGGGCGCCGCACCGAAGCCCTGGGCCGGCACCGGCCCGGGGCCAAGGAGGGGCGGGTACGGAGGTTCGGCTTGATTTTGATGATTCATTTCTGGTTGTGGATGCGGGTGGGGTGTTGCTGGATGTTTTTTTGCCAAGATATGACTAGAAGATCTCGCTATCTTTAAGACCAGGATCGTCTTGAGACGTGGCCATGTTCTGTCGGTGATGCGGTCGAGAGTCAAGAGTGAGGTCGGGGATAGGGTTTTTCAAGCTGAATGGTCCTGCATGTCGGGGTCTCCTAAAGCTGAGATATGCCAAATGTGGGAGTGCAAGACACTGGATGTATACTTGGTCGGTCATGGTCCTGCTGCTAGAATCTCCCCTCGAAAGCTGGAATCGACCCAAGTCCTGGTCACCTGTTTAGGTCTGGGAAGGACATGTCAGACTGACCCTGAAGCACGGAACCGGGTTTCGGATAGAAGTTGGGTCGAGCACAATCGCTATTCCTGATTACTCCTGTGCTATCTTTGGACTGGCAGTCGATTTCATGACGGTCCTATAGAGGTTAACAGTTAACAGTATGACATCCTTGCCAGAACACAGAAGCCCATGGCTAAAGAAGGTTGACAAACCGTGTCGAAGATAGACCCGATACTGCCAAAGCAGGTCCGGTTGCCGTGGGTCGAGTGTGGATCCTCGGCCGCAGACCGGCGGTGCTTTGCAGGCTCCAACGCCGTTCGCGTAATGATAGTTTGTTTTCCAAGAATGATTCTGCCGAACAGCCGGCCTTCGACGCTCCTCTCCCGCTCGTGTGCAAAGAGCAACCGGCGCGGGATGCTCCACGGACCTAGATGTAGACTGCTTCTTTCAAGGCTTGGTTTATTTCTGTCGGCCCCAGACGCTGCGGTCCTGAGACGCAGCCGACGCCTTCGGTTCCGAGGAACCCCGTGACGGAAATCTTCGACACTGCTGCGTACGAAGATCTGCAGCAGCAGCTGCAGGGAAACTCTGAACAGATCTCGGCTGCCTTGGTGCTGTTGAAAGATCATGCGGCTAGGCAGAGTCATCGGCCTCGAGTTCGGGCGGTTTAGGGTGTGTATCAGGTCTTATGGCTTTAGTTGAAGGCTCCTCATGACCAGGGCCTCTGCTGGAGCGGTTTCCAGTGCAATCGGATTCTTGCCATTCCCTTGAATTTTCGTGGTGAACCAGGCGCATGGTGCGACTTGACACGCCCAGGCAACCAAAACGAAAATCCCAGGTAGGTGGACATCCACATTATAGCTCCAAGCAAGCCAGTCCAAGTTTCGTCCTGCCAGCACTTTGCCCTAGTTGAGCCGTGCATTCAGGGTCGAAGTTGTATGTGAAAGAAGCCAGTAAAACTCAACAAGGGTGAACGTCTCAAATTTTCGACATGTCGACTACCTCAACCTTTACCAGTTGTTGTATCCTAAAGCAAACAGCGAATCGCCTGATCGCCTGCAAAAACTCCTGTAAAGTACAGCCTGAACCGAAAACCTTATGCACCATCAACACCATGCCCTACACCCGAACACCTCTCTGGGGGCCTTCCGAATGCTCAGCACCGCTGCGGACAGCAGAAGGCTTTAAAAAGCCAACGAAACGCACTACCTCTTGTAGCCCCGAGTCTGTGCACTCACCTGTGTACCCTAGGTTTGGGACCTGTCATGCCATCCTATGGGATGCCGCCTCATCCAGCTGGCACTCGAGCGTGCGAAGCCCCGCACCTTGGCGCAGGGCTCATTGTGCCATTTTGAGTCCCGGGTTTAGTCTTGTAAAGGGGATAAACGGGCTTAGCTGAAGGGATTCCAGAGTGGTTCCAGCTCGTTGGTCATGTTCTCTCAAAAACACCCTGCTTGCTCGCCGCCCTCACTCAGCATGACAGCCCTTTGTAGCCCACATGCAAAAGCTCGGTTTACAGTACCGCGATCATTCTTTTCGACGGTATAGAATAGCTTACCAGCGAACAGCCCGAAATACAGCCGATACAGGTCCGCTTTCTCACGGGTGTCTTGCCGCATTTTCATCCGGCTTGCGATCAGAGCAGGGTGTGCCTCACATTTTACACAGAAAATCGCCAGCACCCTGATATCTTGGCAGCCAAATAACTCGGGCACCGGGAGGGCCAATTCCGGGTGGAGGAGGGGCGGGGCGAGGCTAGAAGCGCTGTCTAAATCAGCCGACCATGCCAACGAGCTGTCTCCAGACCGAGACGGGCTGTCTCTATCCCGCCTGTCGTTGTCTCGAATCCGATTCTCGATGTCTGAATTCCTCAACATGCTCGCTCCTACTAGCGCGGTCTCGATTCCTACTGAACACTGATTGAGTTGTCTCGATTCGGAAAGAGCTATCTTGATTCCTAGACATGCTGTCTGCATTCCGGAGTGCACGGTTTGAAACCCGAATGAAACTCGAACGTGCTGTCTCGATTCCGAAGCTTCTACTGCCTCCGTTCCGAACCCATCCCGTCCAAAAGCCTGACGGCTGTCAAAGAGGGTGCTCGCTCCCAGAGACCCAGAGCCGCCCAAGCCCCAAACGCCCGCGAGGCGAAGCAGCCGAGCTGGCAAGCGAACTCCGAGGCTCCTCGGATGCCACGTCTTAGCCATGTGAAAGTCACCTGGCCAAGACGTACATCTAGGTTCAGTTGCCTTGAACCGCTTAGCAGAAGGATGAATAGTAGTAGCAGGAGGAGCAGGAGGAGGAGAGGAGGAGGAGGGGTTGAAGTGGAAGTGGGAATGGTCGGAGTAGGGGTAGGTATTAGCAGTCGCATGGCAGTAGGAGCGAGAGCAGCAGCAACAAGCAGAGCTGTTGTTGTAGATCTTCACGGAGGGCGAGTGCAATGCTGACATCATCGTATTTTGGATATGCCGATGCCTCTGTCTAGGCGCATGTAGATATGTGCGTATGCATATCGTTGTGGAGGTGCATGCACTTGTGTATACATAGTGCAACTACTAGGATGTACATGTATGCGTATATACACATAGATACAGGCACGCATATGCATATACATTCGTATGCATGTGTGCGCACGCATGTATACATGTACATGTCTACATACATGTGGACATATTCATACACATTCGAAGCGCACCCGGCATACTAATAGTTAAATCCAGGTGTTTATAGAAACAACCACCCACAAATAGCACCAGAACAATGGTGATTTTGATCTGAATGTCAGTGCGACAAACTTTGCACCAGAAGTAGCATACAAAGGAGCACAACATTTTGCACCAGAGATAGCACAAAAAGGAGCACAACAATTTGCACCAGAAATAGCACAGAAAGGATCACACAATTTTGCAGCAGAAGTAGCACAAAAAGGATCACAACATGTTGCACCAGAAGTAGCACAAGGTTTGCTTCATTTTCAATCGCAAACCAAGGTTCGTGCAGAGGGCCGACATGCCAAAGCTATGGTCTTTAATTGTATCACCAGAAGTACCACAAAAAGGAGCACAATATTTTGCACCAGAAGTAGCACAAGGTTTGCTCCGATTTCCAAGAACAGAGCACAATGAAAAGCATAAAAAAGCATGTACTCAAATTGAATTAAAGTTCATGTGCTGGAATGGCGGCAGCAGGCCAGGGATACCGCACCAGGTAGAGCCAATCAATCTCAGGCAAATCACGGCAAACCTGATCAATATGCATCCTGCTGAGATGGAGGAAACTGTTCTTCAGCCTTTTAGCCTACGCGCTTCCCGTGTGCAGGCCCATGGATGCTATGGGTTGCTTCGGGGATACCGCGCCGAGCAGAGCCAGTGTCAGGAATTATGATCTTTATGTGAGGATAGATTTCGAGACGTATCTTCAAAGCTTAGCTGGAAATTCGTGTAATCCCTGGTGCGGTTCATTGCGCCCTTGATTATGCTCACTGTTGTGCGCCGGGTGCGGTTTGAACAGACACATACACGTGTCTATGTACATGTACATGTGTACATATGCATGTAGCCTCTAGGTGGGTATTGCGAGGCCATGTCCGCGAGGCGCTGATGTCGCCGCACGCAGCCAAGTCGCACAGAGCGTGCGTCCGCCAAAACGCTTGCGATCCCTGCGCCTTCGAACCTCCAAGATGCCAGCAAGATGTCGACTCCTGAGAATACCTGACATGGATTTCATGAGAAAATCCGAGGCGAACTACGTGGCACAGAAGATCGTGACTCAATTGTTCCTTGACACTTTGGAGTTCCATTGCGTCTGTCTGCTCAAGAAGCCGAGTTGCGTTGAATGCAGTCCCAGGGCTTCGTTTAGCATTCTTGAGCGTGCCAAGTAAACACTGCATCCCTGAATTCTGGATCTCTGCAGTGCATCAGAGCTCTGCTTGAACCCTCAACCCTAAGCTCCAGGGAATCTAGAAAGGCCCCAACAGAAAACTCCAAGGACATGGAATGGCTGCAGTTTTGTGGCAGATGAACTGGAAGGTCTTGCGTCGAAGTTTGCTCGTCACCGGTTTGGATGCCGTATCTTTTGCCGCTTGCTGCTCGACTGCCACAGCAACTTTGCCTGGTAGCAATATCGGACGACTAGTTTCATCAGAACAGACTTGAATCATAATCAGAGTCAGCCAGGACTTAGATAATGTTGCTAGCAAGACGGAATTTGGGCGAAGCTTTACTGGCATGACGGCTTGGCTATTGCCACGGGGATGCATGAGTTTCGATGGTGAGTTATCAATGCAAAGGTCTACGGAAGGGTTCGTGAGATTTTTTGGGGTTTCCATGTGGCACGTGCTCTACATCAGGTTTCATTAAGTAGGGCAATGCATTCTGATCATAGAAAGGGACACTGGCGTCGAACAGCCGAACAGCCTTCTTGCATCGTCCGAGCCTGCAATGGGATGGACATTATGTTTTGTCGGGTTTGGAGGTCGAAGGGATCTCCGCTTCCGAGCAAGCTAAACATTGTCAGCAGCTCCACTCTCAAAGACAGGCTTGCCACAATTTGCAGCAGTGGTTGCTCTGGTCATGTCAAGATTCCACAACAGCCGTCCAAACAAAAGAGGCCTGATTGGCTCAGCCCTTGAAATTCCAGAAGCCAAGTGCGCCTCTGACTAGCAATCGAGGCTCGAGTTCTACGCATCGCAAGAAGGCACCCAGCACCTGGTGGACGAGGTACTTCAGGATCCCAGTGAGTGAAGCTCAGAGCTTGCAGTAAGAGTGAGGGATTGAGATTCCTGGCTTTGGCTTCGGCTTAGAAGCTTGAACTTCAGTGATTTGCGGTGCCTTGTAGAGTTTGCCGATTTGGTCATCTCTTATGTAAAGTCTTAGATGGCTCACACGTGGGAGTCCGACAAGTGCAAATCGGAGAGGACAGAACAATCGAAACGGCAGGGCTTCGAATGTGGTCCTGAAAGTTCCCACAGGATGACACAGACACACACTCTCTCTCTCTCTCTCTCTCTGTCCCTCTCCCTCTCCCTTTCGCTCTCGCTCTCGCGCTCTCTCTTTCCCGCGCTCACTCACTCTCTCTCTCTCTCTCTCTCTCGCACTCTTTCTCTCTCTCTCTCTCTCGCGCGTGTATTCTTCGGTCTCCTGCACATGCTACGTTTCTTTTTTTTGTACATGCTTGCATGCATAGGTGCGTACATACATGCATACATACATACATACATACTTATACCTCTTACACTTACACAATCTTACACGCATACATCCACGTACACATATG